AAAAGCAGAGATGAGATTCTGAGGCCACCAAAGCGAAACCCCTCCGCCACTTGGCTGCGCCTAGAAATTCTGTCCCTTAAAATCATGAACAGAACCGGTGACAAAGGGCAGCCCTGGCGGAGCCCATCACCCACTGGGAACGAGTCTGACTTATTGCCGACAATGCGAACCAAGCTCTTGCAACGGTTGTATAGGGATCGAATGGCCCGTAGCAATGGGCCAGATACCCCATACTCCCGCAACACCTCCCACAGGACACCCCCATTTAGGACCCATTTATTTATTTTGCAGAAGTGTGTGTTACCATCTTCAAAACAACATGCATGTGCAGAAGGCAGTTCTTTATTTTACCAAGAACCTAATGGTGCTTTGACAAAAAGTGCAGTTGTAAAACTTTAATTTTTTGTTGTTGTCATAATCCCAATTCTTGAACCTTCCCGTCTTAAACTTGCTGTAGGTTATTCTGCTATATACATTTAAACTGTATTGCAAGTGATTCTTACAAGGGATTTATGGGTCAACATAGGCTGCTTGCTGTGAGTGACTCTTTCAATATGGTCACTTCCTCCTGTGCATCACTATTGCTACAGCTACTTTTTTGCTGCAGTTTTTGAATTTATCAGTGAAAGAATAACAATCGCTTTCTCTTGAACAAATAATCATGACATCAATATAAACACTCACAAATGTCAGCAAATTCCTGAAGGGAGATTGGTGAAACTATCAGAATGGATGTGAGCAAATGTACAAAGAAATGGAAAAATTTAAAGATACAAATATATTTGCCCCCAAAATAACTAACCACAACAAAGAGGCGGGTCACAGCTCGCTGTACAACCCAGGGACGTTACAACAAGGTAATTAAAACATAATACACCAGCACAAGCATAAATGCCAGCAACAACATTAGCCACCTACGTAGGTTACGTTATAGCCAAAGTCTAAATCAAGCCTTACCAGGGAACGACAAATATTTCACTGTCTGTTCATTTTAAAATATGTGAAAATATCTGATGGAAAAATAGCAAAACAGAATCTATCATCATAGATTAAAGATGACTAGTTTGTTGTTTACTTATTTGTTGTCGCGCAGGTTTATACCTTTGTCTTTGACCGTCTTCGTGCTGTGAAGCAGGACATGATCATCCAGAGGATGTCAGGATTGGACTGCGTGGTCATTTTAGAGCGGACTGTTCGTTTCCTCATCTATGCCTCTTATCGTCTTTGTGGGGAGCCACTGCGGCTCTACGACCCACGTATCAATGATACACACCTGCAGGAATACCTCAGCTGGTTGCTGGATTGCTACATGACCAAATCAGGACCTCATCCCAACCAAGAAGAGTTCCAGTCGCTCAGTTTGCTGTACAACTTGGGTTGGTGACTTTGTTTATCATCTGCTATTTTGGTGTATTTGTATGCATGTTCTAGCTGGAAGTCATGCATGCATTAGTTCAGTGTTGTGCAAACAGATTTTTGATGCAGGGAATGTTTTCAAAAATTAAGAACTCCTCCACGTCCTGCAGAAAGCAATTAATTTTGTATGCTTTATTTTCTCTTACAGGTTCAGCTCGTGCTATGCAGCACACCATGCAGCTCCCATTGCGACTGCGCAGCACTCCAAACATCAAACTTGCTCTTGTCATCAACCAAGCTTTCCTTGAGAGAAACCCTGTCCGTTTGCTTCGGTCGGCTCAAAAGCTAAACTTCCTACAGACCTGCGCGCTGCACCGTCACCTGATGACATGTCGTCAAGATCTGCTGCTCATATACAGCCACGGATACAGCAGCCGCAACTGTCGCTTTCCTCTTGACAGACTGGCTAAGCTCTTGTTCTTAGACGCATCACTTACAGCTCAACTGTGCCGGTCATATGGAGTTGAGGTTAACAAGGACAATCAAGTAGTATTCTCCAAAGGTGCTTTCACGGAGCCGGGACAAGGAACACTGCACTGTAAACTGTATCACAGCATAGCATCTGAGAAACAGAGAGATCTCACTGTTAAGAATATTCTTCAGAGCTGTGTTGAGACAAATAAGAAGTAAACAAGCCATACAAATACCGCTCGGTATTCTTATAAATTAGGAAATGGACTGTTTGTTTGTTTTTTAAGAAATCTGGACTGTCACTGAGCTGATGGCCACGAGTTACATTAAGATGTGAATTACTTTTATATTACTACCAATATTTTGTGTTGATGTTTCCCTTGAGTATTTTTTTTCAAGAACTGTACAGAAATTCAAAGGTGTAACTGTTTACTCATTCTTATAAATTCAAATTTTGGAATCATTTCAATAAATTTGGTTACATTGTACAGAAATACAATGGTGGTCAGAAGTTTACATACATCATGGATTTGTCTTTAAAGGCTTTTTCTTTAAAAACAAAATGAATTTATTTAGGATTTTCTGTAATCCACACAGGCTCATGCACTCACTTCATTTGTTGGTAAGTGGTGCTGAAGGTTCTACGGTGTCTTCTACCTTGACAAGACTTATTAACTTATGGCAGAGGTGTCCAACTCCAGGCCTCGAGGGCCGGTGTCCTGCAGGTTTTAGATGTGTCCTTGAACCAACACAGCTGATTTAAATGGCTAAATTACTTCCTCAGTATGTCCTGAAGTTCTCCAGAGGCCTGGTAATGAACTAATTATGTGATTCAGGTGTGCTGACCCAGGGTGAGATCTAAAACCTGCAGGACACAGGCCCTTGAGGCCTGGAGTTGGACACCCCTGACTTATGGTGATTATCATCGACTGAAACTGGTTCTTTGCCAGTTTAAAAAACAAAAAAAGGATTTGTCAGCACTCGTTGGACTGACCAGTAGTCAGCACAATGTTAAAAGTCCAAGGAACTTGGTGTAGATCTAAGAAGAAGAATTGTAGATTTGGGATAGTATCTTGGGGTCATTTCTAAACAACTGCATTCTAAGATCACCAGTTCAAGCAACTGTACGCAAGTACTAGTTATTCAGTTATTCACTGTCGCCCAGATGTTCACCCTCAGATGAGAGGAACTCGATTACGACGTTCAGGAACCACGAAGGCTCAAGCCTGAACTGAAAACTGCTGGTTATCCAGCATCACTGTATACAGTGAAGTGGGTTTTACATCAACATGGACTGAGAGTGTGCTGACCAAAAGGCCCTGATGCAAAATTGACACCTTCCAGTCCAACTGAAATTTGCAGCTGCCCACATGGACGAGCCTGTTTTGGTGCCAGTGGTAGTGGCACAGTGGATGGAATAATGAAGCGTGACTACCTCCAAATTCTTCAACCTTACCACAAAAACCAACAGCTAAACGGGTGAAACTTGAACACAGCTGGGTGATCCAACAGGACAATGATCCCGAACACACATCAACATTTATTTGAAAACGAATAAAGAAGCTTCTGGAAGCTAGGATACGCTTAAACGCCTTACCAGGAAACCAATTTAAATGAACTTTACTAAAAACGTGTATACTGTACAATCATTCCACCCTGGACAATCAGCAGCTCGAAAAAGTAAATAAAAGACCAAAATAACCATGACATTCATGCCCAGGATGAGTGTATGTAGACTTCACGACTGCATGTAAACCTAAGTGCCACTAGAGGGCAGCAGATATCTTATCAGGGCATCAATGAACTCCAAAAGTGCAAATTTAAGTGAGTAAAACTGTTATAATCACGCCTTCAGTAATTGAATTGTGTCATTTCTGTTATGTTTCATAACAAAACAAAGTAGCTGCAGATTTGAGATATTCTGACTTTTTGGCTGAGCTAAAAACGTGCAGATAGTTTTTAGTGGCTAAAAGGACACGTTGCTACTGTTTCTTAAGCGGGTCTCATTCATGCTCTCTGCAGAGAAGAGAAGGTATCAAAGCGAAAGAAGCGCCGTCTGATGCCTCTCAACGCGATGCTGTAGGAGCGGAAAAAAAAGACCGTCCGACTCGAGATCACCAGGAACAACCGGGGACAGCGAGAGCTGCTCGGATTTTAGATGTCAAACAAATCGTAACGGTGACATTTCTCCGCGCTGAAGTGGGAGGACACTTACAAATTGTAATGCTGAAATATGAGAGAGCGAAGCCGGGGCGGGTGAAGGCACATGGGAGAGGACTGCTCGTATACTCCGGGCTCTAAAAGACTAAAAAAAAAAGGCACGATTTGCTTGGACCTGGATTTGGCGAAGACAGATGAATTCATTAAGTTGATCTTTGGTTCTCAACGGAGCTCTGCGCACCTTTCTCTCCTACCGATCTCAATGGATAGATAGATAGACCGTGAGGGCTGGGATTCAATTTCATTTAACATTTAATCAGGGCTTTCAGAGCCAGTCTCATTCAGACGGTAAAGACTGTATCCTGAAGTATCCTGGGCTCTGGAGCCAAAATGTTACGGTTGTCTCTGACAGCTTTGAGGCTTTCGTGGATTTTGTACATCTGCACCGTGAGCACAAGTTCTGCACAAGAAAGACAGTAAGTAGCCTGTGTTACATGTGGTGTCTTTGAGCTGCTGTGTGCTCTACTACAAGCATTTCCCGGTGCTTTAAGTATGGATAGACTGTGATTGTTCATTGGAAAACTTTTAAAAATTATCTTTAAAAATAGTTTTATTTAAACTGAGTGTACGGATCAGTCAGATTAAAACCTTTTTGTGAATAAGCCACGATTTAATGTCATTACTGTCCCAACCACACTGCCACTAATGTATTGTTGTCATACTTTCATTAATTGTGTTACTGACCTGTGAGGAGTCACACAGAGTGATGCATTAGGTCAATGATAGCCCATAACCTGCCAAATATGAATAGATGCACTCCTGTGTTTCTTTCGTTGTTGTTGTTGTTGTTTAACCCAGACCCCGATTCTATCAGTCAGGTGCTTGAGGGGTTAATTGTGACCTTGGGAGATAACAGACCAACTAGTTGTAGCCAGGGGCGTAATTTCCAGGGGGGTTAGGGGGGTTATGACCCCCAATAAAATTATGAATTATCTTGCATAAATAGGATGTTGATTTTCTTTACTCATTCCAGGTATTACCAGCAAAATAGTTGCATGTCTAATCATCTGGGAATTTACCCAGATTTATTTATTTAGACAGAGATCAGCACAAAGTTACGCCGATGGTTGTAGCAATTCTTCCAGGAAGAGAGGAGGGGTTGCTATCAAACTCAAGCTAAAGCAGATCTTTTTGTGAAGCTTTAAACTTCTAAGCTAACTTAGAAGTTTGAGCAATGAGCAAAACATGAAACCATGTGACTGTTAAAGGCTTCACCTAGACATGAGAGCAGGCTCTTAACTCCCACAGGACAAAAGTTGAGCGAAAACAATTAGAACTTGAGTAAATGGAGCCATGTGACTGAAATAAGCACGGTCTCCACCACCTGATCCCAGCTCATCCAAGAGCTGGTTAAACTCACTGTAGATCAAACGCACAGAGTCAATTTCCTCTTATTATCCTCCTTCTCCCGAAAGCCTTATTTTCCAGGGGATTTTCTCATGACTTTTTCTCTCTCTCGGGAACTGCAGTCGCCTCTAGCTGTAATGCCGTTGTGCTGTAATGCCAACCACCTGATCCTTCTCTCATGCATGCAACTGGGCTTGTGCTCAAGGATTTGCTCACCTCTAATTTGTGTGATCTTCAGTTAAGTTGTTAAGGGGTGAGTTGGCCCAGTCGAAAAAAGCTGCAAGGCTGGGGTGAGCAAGCAATGAGTTAGACTAACAGGAAGATATTTACACTTGCGTTGCTGCGTCAGCCTCGGTCATCACATGGTCAAAAATAATTAAAATAAGAGTCTCAAACACAGCTCAACATTTGGTGGACACTTCAGTGAACTTGCTCCACACACTCTGGTGATTGAGTAATACTGGAGCATGCTAACAAGAGCACCTATTATTCTACCTTTGTTACCTGAGAGAAGTAGCCCCTTTGTGCCAGAAGGCATGTTCTTTCAAAATAAAACGTAAATTGGACCCCCTCCCCGCACACACACACACACACACACACACACACACACACACACAC